TGAAATCATGTTGACTAGTGTATGGAAGCAAAAGAAGCAAGTAAAAATGCAATTTCAGTACCAACATAACTCTTCGTGCCACTGCAGTATTTATTTATTGTTTATTTTTCCCAAGTTTCACAAATTCCAAGACAAAATTGGATCTTATTTTTTGTTTCTTGGATTGCATTAAAATCAGAGGCCTGACTGATTCAATTTAAGTTTCATGGCTGTCAGAGTTTCGATTTTGGGTATTAAAATATGATGCCTGAAATGTTCTGGCTTGAATTTTTGGATATAAAAATGGCCAGCTGAATTTAAGTATATTGTCGGAATATGTTAACCCTAAAAAGAGAAAAAATCATCGTAAATGTCACAGCTTGAAGAAGGTAATTCAACCCACATTCATTCTAATGGTTTCCAAGTACAGACATTCATGGTTGATTCATTTTCAACACAAAGCATCCTGTAAAGTTGTGATATCACAGTTCAAAAGGTGTTTCTTTGCCCCCTCAGTGTGTACAGTATCTGTGTCAGCATCATCACTCTCTGACAGAAAACCGCTGCCGAGCACAACAACATCTCTGAGTAATTAAGTTCAAACCTCAAACCTGTTCTGCTTAAGTGTCCTTGAGCAGCTGATAAATCCCCTCCTTTCTGCAAGGTTGACAAGTGAAAACATATTTGAAACGGCATGTGACGTCTTTTCTTAATCTCTCGCTGTTGCTATGCGAGGCTGCGGATGACAGGCTTATGTATGTTTACTGGAAATGAACTTTCTTGTTGGCTGTTCACAGAGTTGAGTGGACAGATTTGCTTTCTGCTTCCTGGGATAAAGACTTTGACCTCAGCCAAGTTTTCTTCACTAATCCTACTTGTAATTGTTGTTTTTTTACGCCAAATACAATGACAGGTTCAACTACCCAGAGGCCCCAAAAGCTAGATTTACTCCATGTTATGTGGGTCCTCATGATGTTATTTTGTTCATTTGATTAAATTTGTGCAGCTGTACGTTAGCTGTGAAGGATCCCACCTCATTTATCTTCTAGTAAAGTTGGGTTTGTATCAAACCTGATTCTTTGTGACATAAAGCGTAAAACGTCAGGCTAGTTTGTATTATTCCATTACAGCAGTACTGCAATGCTATATCCAGTTATTTGCATTATCAGCACATTTACTTTCATTGGATATTGATTGATTGATTGATTGGTGTACAAAATGTGAGAAAATAATAAGAAAGCAAGATTTCAATGTCATCAGGAGTGTTAGTGTTGTCTAAACCTGTAATTTGTAGAATTTTTCATTTGGATTTTAAAGACTTTCTTTCCCGGTATTATGGAAATACACAAAAAATCAATATAATTACAAGAATAGACTGAATTCACATGTCTAATATAAAATAACCTTATAAATAATGTTTTATTTTAACAAAATTGAAAATCTTTACATAAAAAGATCGTAATTTTCGAGCATTTCCTTTAGATTTAATAGCTGAAATGGTTCCATTCAATTTTATTGCAGTAAATATATTTTAAAAATTAGACAAAACTAGTGACAAAACATCTTGTATAGTTATAGAAGTTTCCACAACAACAATGATGAGTGAATGAATGGATGTGTTTTCATCAGCGTATAGTACGTATAAGCATTAGTAGGATAGAAAATGTATTTTAAATATGAAAAATTGCTATTTTTATTAGATAGTTTTTGATTATTGTACAGCTTTGGGGTTTTTTTGTTTTGTTTTTGTTTTTGGCCCAGCTGCTGAAATATTCCTTTTTTCAGTGTAAGGTTACATACACTGTATAATAACACATACAACTTTTTTTTTTTCTCACTGTCTGACATTAAATGTGACTAAACTTTTCCTGTTTTAGGTTAGTTGTTATTATCAAAATTATTTCTATTTGCTGAATGCCAAAATAATGAGAGAGAGAATTTTTTAGAGAATTTTTTAGTGCTTTCTTCAAAGTCAGAAGTTTACATACACTAGACTACTACGCCTTCAAACTATTTGGGAAAGCCCAGATTAAAGTTTAAAGGTCAGTGTGACCACATAGAACCATTTTTGACTGTAATTCAGAAACTCATGCAGTAACTGTAACAGAATTTCACAGTAAATGTTTATCAAGATAACATAAAACCAACATTATAACCAAGAGGTCAAAGGTCAACTTCAGTCCATCAACTTATCAATCATTCAATGAGACTCTCTGTAAAGCACTTTTCATACAAATACAATGTGACACAAAGAGCTTTACAGAACAAAAGGAAGACAGAAACAGCAAAACAATACTAAAAACATCAGCATTTGTCATGTTTCTCCACTCATTGATTTAGTCTTCATTTTCCATACAGTTTGTTCACATCCAGCTTCACATATTTGCAATTTTGAAGCTGTGCATTTAAATTTTTTGTTTTTCAACAAGATTTGGGGGTACAGCATAAGTTTGTACTGACCAAACCACTGGCAGGCCACAATATGGAGTCCTGCAAGTCTGTTTTTTAACCACAGAAAGAAAAATACACGATTCAAGGTTACAAACAACACCGGCTATAGCATACTGGAGCCAGGGCCTAAATCTTGTTGATGTAATCACTTATCATTACGTGGGGTGTGGCGGACTACAGTGGAGAGTAGAGAAATGCCATGTTATTGTTGTTCTGTGTGGTCTACCTGTCTGCTTATTACATACCTGCATTTTACGTAACATGCATAACTGTGTGTATGTATACAGGGACAAAGACAACGTCTTATTTGGTGAGGATTAAATCGTTCTCAGACAGAGCTGATGAGAAACAGGTCTGGTTTGTGTAGGCGTGTGATATCCCTGTATTAAGTACCTTTACCTTGAATTTCTGACAGTTCACAGCTCACATGGAGCTACACAGGCTTATATCTAAACCTTGTGCACCTTTCACAAGCTTCATTTACCGGCCATGTCGGTGCAAATCTACACATGTCTGCTCAGGTTAGAAGCGGCACATTGTTCAGGATGGTCAGTGGTGGAAGAAGAATTAAGATCCTTGACTCAACGAAAAGTACGAATACAGCAATGAAGAATCAATGGGAAAAAATTCTACTAAATTCTACTTAAGTGCAGTAAATTGCAGCTAAAGTGAATTAGTCTGCATCATCATAGAGGTCAACACTGAAATGTGCCGTCATCAGTGTTTTTAACAGATGAGTGTTTTTGAAACCAAATATAAAAGGTTTGTCTTCAGTGTCACTATGTAACTGCTGCGTTGTGACGTCAGATGTTTTCAGCTTCAGTCACTAGTTGGCTGCAGTCAGTGCTACAGTTACCGTCCAACTAAAGCCTGTGTGAAAGTTTTCAAGGACCCACAGCTTTGGAAGTCTGGGAGGACTTCAGATTATCAGAGAACAAAACAACAGTTTGTACACTGTGCAAAGTTTACATGGCAGACCACAGCAGTGCAGCACAACGCACAAACACCTGAAGAGAAATCACAGAGGAGGAACTTTTCATCTGTTTACTTCTCTTCTACTCTCAGTCACATGTACTGTATATAGCACAGCCAAATTCTCAGTCAAGCTTTTCTCATTTTTATTGTTTCTGTTGTCAGACAATAAAAACCAGTGTGAAGCAGTGACTGAAACACTGCTCATCAAGACTACATGTTATCCGCCAGTCACTTCCAAGCTGCTGCTTTGCACCACTGATAATTATAACTGCAACGTCGTCTGACACCAAACACATGGGGTACAGATGACGGCTGTGCTGTGAATCTGATGATATTTTTGTAGCATTTAAAGCTCTTACCAATGTCAGAACAACTACACAACAAGGAGAAAAGAAGCTGCTTTGGCTGTTTCATGCTTGTAAACTGTCCAGTATGTCCATGGTGTGTTTAGTTTAATATGCAGACTGAACTCTTTCACTTGGTCAAGATGTTTAATAGAAACTGTTGGAGTTGTACTGCTAACTTAAATGACAGTTTCTCTTTTTTAAATTTATTATCATGTTGGAGTTGGCAGTTTTGACTCTCTGGTCTTATTTATATTTTATACTGTGCTGCATTATACAGTGAGACACAGTTTGTCCAAATAAAATAAATGAAATAGTCATTTGGGGGTGTAGTGAAGGGAGGATTCTCTCAACTAACTCATCTATATCTACATATATTATCAGTTCTCTATTTCCATACCTGAATTTCTCCAAAATTAAAAAATATAGCAAATGTAGGACCCTACTCTCTTATTGATACCCTCCCATGAAAGAAAAGGCAAAATTGCCAATAGTCACTTAAATAACTGAAAAAAGTAATAAATTAAAAAAAAAAAAAAAGCTAAATTATAATTTAGTAAAATAAGACATTGCTGTTGCATTGTGTTTCAAAAGAATAATTTAAAAAAAGAAGAAAAAAAACTGTCCCGGACATATTAGAGCACTTCGTTGCAAGAATCGAAATACCTGTCAACAGGTGCAGAAGTCTGACTGAGAGTTACAGAAAGCACTTGATTGCAGTGATTGGCTCAAAGTGTTGTTCAACTAAATTAGTTAGTTTATGGGTCCAATCATGCTTGTTTATATATATTTCTGTTGAATCACAATTCAAAAGCAATGTCATGATTTTCATTACATTTTTATTTATTATTTCTTTTATCAGTTCCAAATTATTTCAGTGACAGCTGTTTTTTATTCCGTCTTTAATGGGAGGGTATGGATAAATTTCAGGACGACTGTATGTCAATGTGACGTATTGATCATAGCTGAGGATTTGATCATCGTCACTAGGGGGCGCTCTGCTTGTTTATCTCTCCCGTGTGATGAAAACAAGTCACACTGTGTCCTTATCTTTCGGTGTCGCTTCCTACAAACCGGTTTGTGTTTTTGCCTTCTCTCCGGGTGTCGCTGAAGGGGGTTTCTCCTTTTGTTGCCGTGCGGCTGGGTGACCCAGCCAGGCCGGCCTCCAGCTCCTCATCACGGCCCGATCACGTTCCTCGGCGTCCAATCAGAGGCGCCGCAGATGCTCGGCTGCGCTATAAAGCCAACGTGGACGCAGCGAGGGCAGCAGGAATGAACAACAATAGAAACCTACACAGGCAGCACAGCACCAGAACCTCTGTTGATCTGTTGATATTTTTCTACACTTAACATAAGGTGAGTTGTTTATTTTATAGCCGGTGTGCTGCTGGGTTCCTTTGTTTGCTGCTGCTGCAGAAAAGAAAAAAAAAAGGAAAAAAACCTTTATTGTAACTTTCCTCTAATTTAGATGCTGTTTATTGTGCTGTTGTTTTTATTCTCGTTCACTTGCATGAGGTCCTCGTAAACATCCGATTGAATCAGAGTTGATAAGACAGGATGACACTGTTGTATAATCAGTCATGGTGCAGATTTTTCTCGCCAGTTATATTCAGGTTCACCTATTTTTATTGGGATTTGACTTGACATCATTTCCTCCATTTCACACACGCATTGAAATACAGTCATCTGCAGTGAGGCTGATCGTGTATGTGATTGCAAATAGCGATTGGTTTCATCGTTCTCGATTAATTGATTCGTTGTTTGATCTGTAAATCATTAGAAAATGCTGAAAAATATGGATCAGTGTCTCCCATAATCCAAGATGATGTGTTTGAATGTCTTGTTTCATCCACAACTCCAGATTATTCAATTTACTGTCTAAAGGAGGAAAGAAATGAGAAAATATTCACATTCAACAAGCTGCAATCAGACAGTTTTGCCCTTTTTTCCTTTAAAAATCATACTGTTGAATCCTCACCATAACAGACCATTAATGATTATTTTAACAGTGAAAAGCTAGTCGAATAATCTGTCAATTGTTTTAGCTTTAATCGTGTGTCCTCTTCACTCTGTAGGTTTCAGGGTCAAGACAATGGCCACCTCAGCGAGTTCAAAACTGAACAAAGCTATTAAGCAGCAGTACATGGATCTCCCTCAGGGGGACAAAGTCCAGGCCATGTACATTTGGATAGATGGGACTGGAGAGGGTCTTCGATGCAAGACCAGAACTTTGGATTGTGAGCCCAAGACGATCGAGGGTAAGATCTGGTTCCAACATGATCAATAACTTCCGCTTTAAGACTTTGAGGCAGGGTTTTGATTTTGGTTGTCTTCCTCTGTCAGATCTACCTGAGTGGAACTTCGACGGCTCCAGCACCTACCAGTCAGAGGGCTCCAACAGCGACATGTACCTGATCCCTGCAGCCATGTTCAGAGACCCTTTCAGGAAAGACCCCAACAAGCTGGTGCTCTGTGAAGTGCTCAAGTACAACCGCAAGCCAGCAGGTAAGCAGTAGAGTACAAACCCGGGTTCACTGCACTTTAGCTTGTCTCTGGTTGCAGCTAATTTCTGAATCTGTTCCAACAGAAACCAACCTGCGGCAAACCTGTAAGCAGGTCATGAGCATGGTGGAAAACAACCACCCGTGGTTCGGTATGGAGCAGGAGTACACTCTCCTGGGCACCGATGGACATCCCTTTGGATGGCCCTCCAACGGCTTCCCAGGTCCACAAGGTGAGTTTATAGCTGGACTTGTTGCTTGTTGATTGATCAGAAATCTGAACAGCCCGCCGAATGTTAACATTTACTTTCTTTGCACCCAATTAGGGCCTTATTACTGTGGAGTGGGAGCAGATAAAGCATACGGACGAGACATCGTGGAGTCGCACTACAGAGCCTGTCTGTACGCTGGGGTTCAGATCTGTGGCACCAATGCTGAAGTCATGCCAGCTCAGGTACTTGACACAACGCAGCATGTAATGGCATAGTTGTGATAACAGTAATAACAAGGTGAAATTATAATAACACTGTCTTTGTTGTGCTTCAGTGGGAGTTCCAGGTCGGGCCTTGTGAAGGTATCAACATGGGAGACCATCTGTGGGTCGCTCGCTTCATCCTCCACAGAGTCTGCGAGGATTTCGGCGTGGTGGTGTCCTTCGACCCCAAACCCATCTCAGGAAACTGGAACGGCGCCGGCTGCCACACCAACTTCAGCACAAAGGAGATGCGAGACGACGGAGGACTAAAGTAAGCATAAATTTGTTCAAACGTCATGATAAAAATGCGCTTTGTTAGCACAATCTTAACTTCGTCTCTTCTTCTTCACAGAGTCATCGAGGAGTCCATCGAAAGACTATCGAAGAGGCACAGGTATCACATCCGAGCCTACGATCCCAAAGGCGGGCTCGACAACGCCAGACGCCTGACTGGTCACCACGAAACTTCAAACATCGACGAGTTCTCGGCCGGCGTGGCCAACCGCGGGGCCAGCATCCGCATCCCTCGCTCGGTGGGCCAGGAGAAGAAGGGCTACTTCGAGGACCGCCGCCCGTCCGCCAACTGCGACCCTTACAGCGTCACAGAGGCCATGGTGCGCACGTGTTTGCTCAAAGAAGAGGGAGAGGAGCCCACAGACTACAGCAAATGAAGTCTAAGATGAAGTGTCATTACCAGTACTGTATTTAGCCTTGTGTCTGTTTCAAGACTCCACAGACTTTTTATTTTTTTTGACTTTTCTACTTGACAGATGAACTAATGATCGCGGTATTCTTTGTGCATTCAAGCCGTATGGAGCAACCGATGCAAGTACTGCCTTTTTGTCCACAAAGCATTGTGTCACAGCGTCATGGTAGTTGATCATTTGTATAGACGTACAATATTATAATGTGTTAAAACTTGTACTAATGGAAACTGTCTTAAGTGCCGCAGCATTTTTAGTGCAGCTCTTCTTACTCCCACCCAAACGATCCCAAAGGCATTTGAATGTGTTAGCTGTCTCTGCCTCTGTCACAATGGTGGTTTTGTCATATTGTGAGTAGGTAAGAACACATGTAAGCCAATCTACTTTTGTATGTTTGTTGTTTTGTTTTTTTTTGTAAAAATGATGCATGTTTTGTTTCGTCTTTTTTTTTCCACTTGTAATTGTAGACCTCTTTAATAAACAGCTCACATTTTTACATCTGACTTTCGTCTCCAGTTTAATCGCATCACGTTTTACCTGGAGCTGAACTCAGCCAGAAACCAGTTTGTCGCAACCAGACTTGTCAGCTGATACAAATCTCTGAAATGTGACCGGCGTTACGGAAGCATAATGTTAAGCAAATGGTGGTTCATTTAGAGCCGCATCCTCCTACTTATTAGAACGGCCAAACACACATGAGCCAAATCAAGTTTGCTTTGAAGGTGGTGACAGCGTGCATGAGAGCACATGGGAGTGCATGTGGACTCGGATTGTGCTCTTCTGTGACATAGGTCAATCCAAAAATAGATCAAAAAGTTGGCAGCAAAAGTGAGGAGTGGACAAGAGTCATCACTTAAATCTGTCTGAAGACCCAAGACTTCATGGAAAAGGGATGGTGGCATATTTTGAGCAATGACTTGTAGTGTGTACTGTGTGATTCAACATAAACAAGTTCAGGTAACTAATATGATTTAGTAATTCGAGTAAAAATGTGTCACACTTACAACGCCTTAATCAGTAAGCAGGCTGATTATTATCCTCTTTTCTCAAACTAAAAGACACACGCATGCTGTGCTGGAAATTCCTTTAAAGCCTGCACGTGCCCTGTCTGATTCAGCATTGTTCCTGGTACTGGTTTCACTGGATGTCCACTCTGTTTCACACGTCACACGCTGCCTCTCATTTCATAAACGCTGCAACAAACCTGATCTGTTGACAACAGTAAATACAGTATGTTCTGCTGAGGGTGAGCCAATCCTCACACACGTGTTTACTTGCTAAAATCAGATAACCTGATCCTCACTGAGGATTCAACTCTTAACAATTCAGGCCATCCTCCACCCATCCCTTTTATGTTTACTACAAATGATTTTCAATTCTTCTTTGCAGTGCTGCTCATTTTCTCCTGAAAGCATGCCAGAATAGATCAGATTTTTAGTCACAGTGGCCACTGGTCTCCAGTTATTTTAGCCCCCCATGAAAATCGATTTGCAAAGATTTGAAACACGCTTCGGTGTTTGATCACAGAGACGTCATGTCTGCATTCACTGTCCATAAGGCTGTGCTCTTGCTGTAAGAGTAGAATTAAATGCCAGGAATAAAGGCAGACGTGATGCCCATTTTACTGCTGATGACTAATGATAATGCATCCTAAATAAGTCCACCTCTGAGTGATTTATCCTTATCATTTGGGAACTAAATTTAACATGACTAATCAAGTTTTTTTTTTAGTCCAGGGCCTGTTAGCCAGGGTCACCAGTGTCAGCGGGTGACAGACGCTCAGCAAAAATTGTGTCTCACATTCCTTCATGTCCTTTCCAAGTGTCCTTGGATGAGACATTGAACCCTGACCCACAAAAACCAGATGTAACGAGCAAACTGGCAGGCACACCTTAAGTATTAGTTTCATGCCATGCTTTATTTGCTGACCCGTATAAGATCATACCTTGACCCAGAACTTTGAGTGTTGTGCTCTGGTAACCCTCTGAACTCCAAGCAGTTTGAGAGCCTTTTTTTTTGCTTCTGTTACACTTTTATTCACTGTGGCCTCATTTCTCACTGCAGTATAAAATCCTGCACTGTGGAAACAACACAACCATGTCTGGAAATACCAAAAGAAATAAATAGATAAAAAATCTAAAAAGTTGAGCTTCTTTGACTATTTAACTTACAAAAAATTATAATTCGCTTGTACAACTATTTTACAAGTGGCCACACGTGTTACCAAAATTGGATCAAAATGGGGGCTCTAAATGCTTCTTAAATTTTTTCTCACTACTCTGCACATCAACTCCAGACAGATATTGCTGAATGTATCGTTCAGCAACTTGCTCCTCTATGTACATGCTGTATTTGTTTTATTGATCAAGTATGTTTTTTTTTTTTTTTCCACTCTTGAGTCTCTTTTGTTGTCTCCTAACTGCAGCTTGCAGTTACGCTGAATAGTTCCTGAATTTTTTTTTTTTACACATGACTGTTGGTCAGTGTTGAGTTGCTCATTGCTTGTCAGTTGTGCTGAGAAACACAGAATTTTTAGTTTTATACAGGATCTGGTGCACACACTTTTTGGAGAACTTTTTAATAGAACACTTAGAATACCAACATTTTGATAAAATATGACCATATTAAGCGGCTGTGACTCAGGTGGTAGAGGGAATTGTTCTCAAATTTCAAGGTTGGCAGTTCAATCCTCCGCCCCCTCACATGCCAAAATGTCCCTGGGCAAGACGTTGCACCCAATAGCAGGCAGAACCTTGCATGGCAGCTGTCACCATTGGTGTATTAATGTGTGTGAATGGGTTAATTAGGAACACACTGTAAAGCGCTTTGAGTACCACTAAGGTAGAAAGGCACTATATACAGTTGAAACCAGATGTTACTGTATAAAAAGACAGAAAATCTATTTTTTTTTCTTTTTGTTTTTGTCACTGTCAGACATTAAATGTGACTTTTTCTGTTTTATGTCACGTAGGATTCCCAACATTATTTCTATTTGCTAAATGCCAGAATAATGAGAGAGAGATTTATTTTTTTTTATAGAGAATTTTCTTTGACTTGCTTCAAAGTCAGAAGTTTACATACACTGAGATTACTATGCCTTCAAACTATTTGGGAAAGCCCAGATGATGATGTCATGGCTTCGGAAGCTTTTAATAGGTTAACTGACAACATCTGAGTTAATTGGAGGCACACCTTTTTGAGGCAAACCTCAAACACACTGCTTCCTTTTGTGACAACATGGAAAATCGAAAGAAATCAGTCAAGATATCAGGAACAGAATTGTGGACCTCCACAAGTCTGGTTCATCCTTGGGTACGACTTCCAGATGCCTGAAGGTTCCACGTTCATCTGTTCAAACAATTATACACAAGTTTAAACACCATGGGAATGTCCAGCCATCATAGCGCTCAGGAAGGAGACGGTTCTGTGTCCCAGAGATGAAGTGTTTTGGTGTAAAAGTGCGTATCAACCCCAGAACAAAAGCAAAAGACCTTGTGAAGATGCTGCTGAAGCTGGTGAGAGAGAGTCATTATCCACAGTGAAACCAGTCCTGTACCGACATGGGTTGAAAGGCTGCTCAGAGAGGAAGAAGACATCACTCCAAAAGAAACATAAAAAAGTCAGATTACTAGTTTGCAAATGCACACAGAGACAAAGACCTTCATTTGTGGAGACATGTCCTGTGGTCTGATGAAACTAAAACTGAACTGTTTGGCCTTAATGAGCATTGTTACCTTTGGAGGAAAAAGGGGGAAGCTTGAAGCCTGAGAACACCATCCTGACTGTGAAGCATGGGGGTGGCAGCATCATGTTGTGGGAGTGTTTCGCTGCAGGAGAGACTGGTGCACTTCACAAAAGAGATGTCTGCAAATGGGTCTTCCAAAAGAACAATGACCCGAAGCATACCGCCAGATTAGTTACAAAGAGGCTTCAGGACAATAAAGTCAATGTTTTGGAATGGCCATCACCTGGAGAAAATTTGTGCGCAGAGCTGAAAAGGTGTGTGGAGCAAGGTGGCCAACAAACCTGACTCAGTTCCACCAGTTCTGTCAGGAGGAATGGGCTTTAATTTCATCAAACTATTGTGAGAAGCTTGTCGGAGGAAACCCAAAACATCTGACCCGAGCCATACAGTTTAAAGGTAATGCCACCAAATACTAAGGAAATGTACGTAAACATCTGACTTTAAAGAAAGTAATAAGAAATTCTCTAAAAAAAAATGTAAAAAAATCCTCTCTCTCATTATTCTGACATTTAGCAAATAGAAATAATTTTGGTAATCATAACTCAGCTAAAACAGGATAGATTTAGTCGCATATAATGTCAGATAGTGAGAAAAAAAGCTTTTGCATCTTTTTATACAATGTATGTAATCTTCTGGTTTCCACTGTATGTGCAGACGATTTAGGTTTAGACTTGGTTAATGTTGTTTCTGTCTCCACTGGCTGGTCTGTGTTTTAAAAAACTAACAACTCATCCTTCTGTTTGACTGTACAGTTTGTTCCAGGTGAAATGTAACTTGGAATATTCACACATACCATGTAAGATGTCGAGTTTGCAACCAAAGTGAAGGCCTCAGCAGATTCTGGTCAACCACACATATTTCAGTGCGTTTTGCATATGCAGCGTACAACACTTCTTGTATGGCTTTTACATGTTCTTCTTGGTTTAGGATGGATGCTCTTAAATGAAGTGGAGACACACTGCTTGTAGAGGTATTTGCCTGCCAGGAGTCTAAGAACGCACCAAATTCAATTTGTCTGCCAAACAAAGAATCCAAATCATGCTGCACTGGCCTCCTTAAATCACATCCAGCAGCCAATCTCAGGAAATGTTCCGGCACTTGCAAAGAGGCATTCAGGACAAAATCACAGATGTGCAGGGTATTTTGTCACTTTTTTAGAGAGACAAAATAACAAGACATTGAAAGAATCACTTAGTTTTACCGCCTGAGGCTGTTAGCACATGCAATGAGGCGGTGGACCCCCAATTGAAATGCATTTTCCTTAATGTGCATGTATCCTACTGCATACATACTGTTGCACAACCTATTCAAATGTTCCAATTGCACTGTAAGTGGCGCCCCTCCTCACTTTCTCCTGTGTTATTTGACCCTTTTGTGTACAGAAGGGTGTAAAAGTGTCTGAATGCAGCTCTTTATCAACAATATGAAGACAAACATGGATATTTGAGATTAGATAACCTGGACAGAGAAGAGGTCTCATGAAGGGAAACATAACGCCTCAAGCCTCGTTGCCATGGCAGCCCGAGTCTAAGCCCAAGCAATCTGGTGTGTGGACGAGAGGCGGGGGTGGGGCTCCATACCCAGCCGTTACATAAGAACAGGCAAGTCGAGAAATGTATAGCACATGGAACAAAGAACATAGTTTACAAACCGCTACTGTGCTCCCTGTATAGAAGGAGGAAGGGAAAAAAAACTAGCCAGTGCAGTATCGCATTACAAGACACGCAACGTAATCTCACACAGACTATTCATTGTGAA